ATTTCGTTTCGCGTAGACTTTTTTTTAATACCAATAGGCCGGCTGTGAACGCTTGTACAAAATCTTTAAATCTATTGCGACTTGTGTTTAGGATATTTAAAGAAGCTACATGAATTTTTTTCGAATTCTTTTCAGATTTTTACCCACTGAAAGACGCGTCGCACTTAAATGACCCACGTGTATGGTTTAAAATGTACCGAAAATACGTTTGCGGAGTGAGGGTGTAAGTTATTCCATTGATATCTTTTTCATAAAATATTGTTTAGTATTCGTAATTGTAAATGCACATTTCTTATGATTATTCGAACGAGCCTCAAGGGAGGGACAGTTAGTTAATTATGTTAAATTAATACACACGTAGAACGTTTTGAGGAAACAGTAAATAAACGTTCAGGAATAATGATATTATTAAATGTGCACCTAAATTAGTGATCAAAGTAAGAATAGAGTTCCGTTACGAGCTCGCTAAATAGTCGACGTTCGGAAGATTTATTTGCATTGTCTAGCTGCATCATGGTACATACTTAATCGATATTCAGGATCTGATTTCACAGTTCACAGTTCACAGTACGTTTCCAGGTCGTGGTTACGCAGTTGGTAGAATCGTTTGTTTCGGAAGCGACGCGCATTCGCATCGCTCCGTAACAGGCTGTTCGTTTCTAGGCTCGATTAGCGGCCTGAAATAGATTCTCCTTGCTGGCTTTACCTTTTAATCGATTTCGCAGATAATTGCAGGGTTTCGAGTTTAATGGTCGTTTTATTTTTCTGTTTCTATACTAGTTGAGAAATATTTGGGTTCCTACATTTCCTTTTCTGGTATTCGATTGATTCGATTCGATGTCTAATTGCAATCACCGTACATAGTGGGTGCGTATTTGTAAAACCATGGGTTGAAACGGAGAGTAGGCGGGGAAGGCGGGTTATTAACTTCCCGTCTGTTCTTCTCTACATTAGCTTGAACTTTTAATGGATTTTGCATTCGCAGATAATTGCAGGGTTTCGAGTTTAATGATCGTCTTAGTTTTCTGTTTTCATCCTATTTAGGAAACATTTGGGTTCCTATATCTCCTTTCCTGGTATTCAATTAATTCGATTCGGTGTCTAATTGCAACTAATCAACATAATGGTTGTGTACTTGTAAAACTATTATAGAAATAAAAGGCGAACAGGCGTGGAAGACGGAGTATCAGCTTTAGTTAGTTTGAACTCTTGCATTCGCAAGTAACAGCATCGTTTCGAGTTTAATGATTGTTTGAGTTTTCTGTTCCCATCCTACGAGGGACACATTTGGGTTTCAAACATTTCCTTTGCTGGTATTCGATTGATTCGCTCCGTTGTCTAATTGGAATCGCGTAACGTAGTGGGTGTGTACGTGTAAAACTATAAGAAGGAAAGGAGAGCAGGCGTGGAAGGCGAAGTACCAACTTCCCGTCTGTTCTTCTGCACGTTAGTTCTCCAACTCACGAACGTGCACATGTCGATTCTTTGCACCAGAGTCGCGCTATATGTGTAGCTTGATACAACGATTCACGACCCGTTTTTGATTCTGTTAGTTCCTCCTATGAAGATAAGACTTGCAAATAGTAACAAATCTATGCCTCATTTTTTCATTAACAGATTTTCTATATTGCCCAGAAATCATTTGGGGAACTGAACCCTACATTCATATTGTTTAACAAGTGTAAAGGAACATGCATTTTCAAATTAAAAAAGAAGTGGAAATCGGTTTCTTCCAAGAGAACATCCTAAGCTGTACATATCTTGCTTATCCTTCCCTCCTCGTTCGAGGCCGAGGTCCACGATTTAGGATGGAAATTCGCGATCCTCGCCAAGAGAATTTGCGATCTATTTTCGCAGTGATTTTGTCGACGTGGTCCACGCATGAAATCAATCCCATAGCAGAGAGATACACGGCCAAAAAATTTAGTTCTCCGGAGTTTGTCACGTGACCTTGAATGACGTCACCGAGGCCAATAGGAAACCTTCCAAACCCGAGCTACCGGAGCAAGAGTTCGTGTGACGTCATCTGCGCAGTAAAACCGACGCGCATTCTGTGCCCAGCGACGTGACCGAGATAGAATCAATTATAAATTTGTAATAAAAATCTTTCTTCTCTCGGTCCTCCTATCATTTGAAATTTTTCTCTATGTTCCAATATAAAACGAGCAATGAGAATGACTAGAGGGAACGCGTGTATAGATAATTAATCCCCAAAATTAATTTCTAAGTAATTCTTGTTTTCACGAGAATTGTTCATTAATTTCTTGGTCGTTGTCATCTCCCGTTGATTAGTAATTGGGCATCATAAAGGGAAAGGTACCGGCGATGGTTCCGAAAGCGACCGAGCAAAAGAATTTATCGCGTGCGACGTGTGATGGAACGGGAGAAATATATACGCTTTTATAGCAGAGGCTAGCGGCAACGTCGCAAACCGTTTGTCGGACTCAGCCGTCGAGTCACCGACTTTTCGAGGCCACGGCACGTTGTGTGCCCGTGCGTTTAAATTCATTTCGATTACGGGCGCAATCTATCGGAGCTGGGAAATATCAGCTCAAGGACGAGGTTCCCTCCTCCCCTCCTGTTCTCGGCGATCCTCGCGCGTTCGAATCCCGGTCGGTAACGCAGAGATTTACTTTCCCTCCTCCGTCCGCGTTCCACTTACGATCCAACCTTGCAACTCCGAACGGCAACTCTGCAGGGTTCACGCTTTTTTGTCCCTTTTAATCATTATTTTAACTGTTCCTTTCTTTTTACGCACAATCGTGCGATTCATTATAGAGGAATCTTTTTGCTAGCAATATTGAGCACGTTCCTTGTTTTCTGTTCTTGGAAAGTGAGGCGAATATCATTGACGGGAAGGGTATTACTTATTAATTTACTGGCCTGCAGGAGAAAGTGATGAACTGATTCTAATTCATCTACTAGCCTCCTTAAAGAGTAACAGATCTCATCGTCAGCCTGATTTCCACGATAGCTGAGACATTTACATCCAAACGAAATTGAGAAGGAAAGTTTTTTACGATGTAAAAAGAGTGAAAGGTTCCACTAAATTATGCTCTACTTATTTACCCCACAGTCGTTTGTAAACGATGTGTGTAGATAGAACTCGAATTATATTTATAAATTCCATTTAAAGTGTTTGAATTAATTTACATATAAATTGAATCACTATATTAGATTCAATGCTAGTGTACAATGTTAATCTAATATTTGAATTTAAAAGTCTGAACAAACGTTTACGATTTGAGTTTGACCGTTTAGACCGAGGGAACTTTGAATGGTTAAAGATTTGCCGTTCGGGCTCGCGTTCCATTACTGATTCCTTGGGACTTCTTGTAGATAGGACAGATACAGCATATTGTTGTATTCAATTATCGTGCAAGGAAGCGGAATGTGGATTATCAGTTTAAATGTTTGTTGCCAGTGTCGTCTCGATAATCGTGCTTGAATTAAGACCTTTTACACGAAACGCAGTAAGTTTATGCGACTAAAAAATAGTATACATAGCGCATATATTGCATATAATAGTAGTATATATACTGTGTCCCCGGATTAAATGATCAAACTGCACTGGTACGTTCTATGAGTAAAAGTAAGAAAAACAATGTTACATAAATATTGGTCTGTAAATGCTTTCTAAGGAAGTTATAACAGAGAAATTAATCTAAAGTCATTATCTAGTTCGTTGTTGGCACATTGGATAGAACAAAGTGACAATGTTTATGAGACTTGCTGTTTCTAGCCATTTTACTATCCCTGAACTAAAGCAAAATGGAGAGCAAATTCTGAGAGTTGTATTCGTAACGGAGGACGAGACTTTGAAATGGAAACGATCTTCTTTTCAATGTAATAAGGCTTGATAACAGATATTTCAAATAGTTAAATATGGCGAGAAGGAGCAGGTTTCATAAATGCCGTCGCCTTATTGTTACACTCCGACGTCCGACTTACCAACAACGAACTCACTATTGACTTTAGGTTCATTCTTTTATTATAACTCTTTTATATGTATGGTGATTATATTTAGATGGTAATTCGGTTAACCCGTAATTTTTTTAACTTCAATATTACTCATTTAATTTTAACTTAATAAATATATACTTTATCTCTCTTTTATGCATCGCGTAGTTTTCCAACATTTATTTATACAAATTTGTTCTGGTAACGTCCACGATTTCGTTATCTGAACGTCTTGCGCAACGTTACGTTGTTGTTCGCCGTACGAAGAATCAGTTATTGTTAATATGAATAAAACGAATGGAAAAAATGCTGTCGTTGTAAATAATTCATTAAATTAAATGCAATTCGTATGAACTATGATATGTAATGTCATATGAAAATGCAACGTGCTTTGCAGTCAAAAAATGATGCAGTTTCACATTACTACTGTACTTATAATATATCGACGAGAACGAGCACGTTATTAAGAAAGCGATTAATGTACTTTTGGAGTCTTCGTATAAAATGTACTCATTTGATGTTGCTTCTGGAAGGCTTTCTTTCCCGTGCGTTACAGGTACACGTTAGAGTGCAGTTTTGATTTAAATATCGTAGAAATGCTAACTGCATGTGTACGTAACGCGAAATCAGCGTTATGCTGTTACGTTATCTTTCACGCGAAACTGTAACGACGTAGTAGAGTTCAGTATATGCATATTTGGTTGAAATGAAACCTTTTTTTTCTCTCATCTTCGTGTACCATTTATCTCTTAAATGAATAAAATATGCGAGTGAGAAGACGTGAAAGCCGATGTGCTACGACATTCAAATGGATAGGTGTATTTCAAAGATTACTTTAAACAGTTCCCACATAATATAATATTCAACAAAAATGCTTTATACTCTTCTGCTCGGGCTAATTTCTTTTCAGTCTTCGTATGTATAATAGTACTACTATACCTTTTCTACATATGTCGTACGGAGAATTGAGTTGAAGTGTTTCCGCGGCTTATTGATCTCGTGATTTGGATATTAGTAACGAGGCAATTTATTTTTTACAGATTCGGCACATTAGGCAACAGGAAGGCTCGAATAGTCATGCCGTACAACAGGGGGAAGTGTCTTCTTCGAATCCTAACATACTGTCCACCGATCAAGTTGGTCCTATTTTACTCGAGGTACAAGTCAATTTAAATCGAACCCCATCAATCTATTCTATTCTTGTTGCTTTCGTTCATTGACACATGTACACACACTCGGAGCGTTTCAGTTCGTTTTTGATCTTATTTAGCTACTTGCGGGCAGCACTCGTTGCGAAGGTCTAGTTCATTGGACACTTCGTCAAGATCAATTGCACATGCCTAGCAGTTTGCGTTTAATAAATAACAGTGAACATATTTATGGAACTACCTTTTCGTTTAAAGGTCTCTTTTCTAAATTATCTAAAAATAATTATACGGCGTTGTGCTGAAAATAATTCTCAATCGCTTCGAGATAATTGGAAGTTAAACGTGAGAGGTGCAAATTTCTATGGGCGTTAATTTTCGTGACGGAAGAGAGATTAAATGTGAAATATGATAATGTTCTTCGATCATTTTTCGAAACTCGTTACCACTGATTTTTCTGAGCCGCATATAACAGGACATAATTTAACAGCCAATTAAATGACCATTGCCTGCACATGAACCCTTTTATCTAATCGATATTGTTTTTCTTACTTAACAACTTTTCATTCTTGTTTGACGTTCAACAGGATGCTAGTTCTAAAATTTAACGTGTCTATTGAAATTTTTGTTCAGGCGCTAGATGGCTTTTTATTTGTTGTAAATACGGAGGGACGAGTGGAGTACGTAACTGATAACATAACGCAGTACATAAATTACACGAAGGATGATGTGCTCGGCAAGGATATTTATAATATTATTCACCATGGAGACCACAACACCTTCATGCCGAGCTTGTTGCCTATGCCATTAGGTTGGTATATATCTTTCTCGTATACCGTCGTAATTTCTTTCACGTTTTAACCCTCTGTAACTTTCAAGTTACACATTCGTGTGCCTATGTTCTTTCAGTTTTATTTCTTATCGCTAGTCTTATCGCATGCAATATGCAAAATTATGTAAAATATGTGGCCATATTTTTGGGGGCGAAATCGGGGACAGGAAAGAAGGTGGGAATTATAAACAAACAGCAAAATTCTTGTATTGAATCATTTCATAAATTATTTATTGAAAGGAAGAAAAATAAAAATGAAAAAAAAATTGCTTAGAGCGAAAAGAATAAGAATAAAAAATGAAGTCTTCATGACATAACAAAATCATCTCGAAATTGATCAATCATGAAAATTTACAGAGTTCAAAATGAACCGAACCACTTTGTAGAAATATTTGATTATTACAATTTAGTATTAATAGAAGGAATGAGGAGGTTAGTTGCAAAAGACACATTTTTGTTTTATTTGATGCTATATAATTTATATATAATGTACACTATACAAATACGGAACTAAAAAATAAATACAGAACATTTGTCCGTCCATTATTTTAAAAAAAAAAAAAACTGTCTACGGAAATACAGAACGGATAACCACCGCAGTTTTAATATGTGTAGGGGTTGAAATAAATCCTTGTGTAATGTAATTAAATTTAGTGGTTACAAAATTTTTGAAGCAAACAATTCTTTATTAGCCATTTTCTGCTATAATTAATTAATTATCGGAATGGAATGTCATTCGTCCCTGAGAGTACGTACACGATGAAATATTTATACGCGCGCTTCGCGTGCGTTGAGGGTAGTTACGATAATGTAACATTTGAATCTATTTAGTGAGTAGCGCGTGCACGCATACTTTCCAGTTTATCTCGCTTTGTTATGGAACGCCGGTAGCGGTGCAACGGAAAGATTTATCTTGTGTAATGAAAGGAGATATAGGTTTGAAATTTCGAGCACAGCAGTAATGCGATGCCATCGGCGAAGTGCATTGCACTTCGATGGGTTTGTCCTATCTATCTAAAATAGAAATAAAAAAAATGAAAGTATATTCGTAACATTTTAATTAATTATTGCTAATGCAGCGCGTCTGACTATTTGTATTTACTCAACATCTAATATGTAGTCTATAAATTTAGAAAAATAAAACAACTCATAATTCTGTCCCGAATAGTCATTTTTCTCTTGAAAAAGATTTATCACGTTTAGTGAATGGCCAAGTCGATCTTTTTTTATTCCAAAAATGATTCGCAAAATTTAATGATGAAAAAAAATTGGTCTGTGATCCAGGCTGGACGAACGAGCAGCAGCAGCAGCCCCAAAGGAACCGTACGTTCAGTTGCCGCTTCTTGGTGAAGCCTCCTGATGATAAGGAAGAGACTATGGAAGAGAAGCAGCAACGAGTATCGAAATACGAGTCTATGCAAATCTGTTCAGCTCTTTTGCCAAATAATAGCGATCGTCTCGAGACTGGTGACGTGTCCTCTGAATCTTCGGACAACGGTCCTTGCGTAATGTGCGTGGCTCGCAGGATACCACCGAACGAGAAGCCCATTGGTACGCCCATCGAACAGTTCACTGTCAAGTTGGACACCACGGGGAAAATAATCGCGGTTGACATTATCTGGCTGTCACCTCCTTACTCAGAATATCTAAGCAAGGTAACACTTCTCTTTCCCTTTTTTTATAATACTCTCCTTAATCCTCGCTTATCTCGATTGAGGAATATTAATTTTTACTATTTTGTTGCAGGATTTGATTGGCACTGCAATAAAGGATTTGTGCCACCCTCATGATCTCAGTAAACTAACCGCACACTTGAACGATACGCTTCAAGTTGGCGAGAGTACCAGCGGTGTGTACCGGCTACGCGTTAGTTCCGATAAGTACCTTAACATTCAAACAAAGTCGAAACTTTTCAAAGCCAGTGTGATGAATACACTCGTTACGGACTTCATTATGGCCACCAACACCATCATTGGGTAAGTTGAATCATTCTACTTACCTTATGTATGCGCAAGATATTTTATTTTTTAATATAGTTGTGCATCATCAAAACCGATTCAGTCTCGGATTATTTTCATAAATATTTAACTTATTCCTATTGTTATCTGATTAATCTGAGTCTGAATCAATACATTGATTACCGGAAGGTGAAAATAAAAAATTAAGAAGATTTTGTCACCAAAAAGTATTAATAAATTAATTTATAAGATGATTAAAGAAGTGTACGCATACGTGCGCTACGGTATTCAGTGTATTAGTTACAACAAGTAATATTAGAATTACAAAAAGATATCGAACGAATATTATCAGATCATTGATAACTTGATACTAATCATAGACGAATAGCGCATGATAATTGTACAATCAGTACACTTTCCAGTATTCCGTGGCTCGTTTAATTGTCTTATAATTAGAACCGTTTAAGCTGTTTAATATTGGACGTTCTGCTAGTTAATTAAGTTAACGTATTACTCCACATCGCTTAATTACTCTTCTGTTGGAACACAGGCAAGGGTGACTATATCTACACATGTTCTCTCTATAAACTATAAACCTCCCGTTGCGTTAGGTTTTTGCTAATCAGTTCTGTTTGCCTAATTTTCCTGAATATATCGCTTTAATAATATATTAAACCAATTCGGCGACAGGGAAACAGGAGAAATTCAAAAGAATCGAAATTAATTTGACGATAATAATAATGTTTCAATCCCTCCCAAACATTGAATTGTGTTACACCAATTCGTTCCAAAAAAATTTTCCATATTTATTCCGTGGTGGTTTTTTAGGCTTATATTTTAAAAAATCTTGCATGCTTCGCGACACACGGGATTTTCCTTCCGGTGTTGGAGATCTGGCCACTCTTGAAATTGAAAAAAAATTCTTTTTACTCATACTACGATGTTTTAGAATTAGGACCACGTTCACCGCTTTTACATATTGCTTTTTAACACCATGTCTGCTAACAATTATTTGTTACCATGTATCGCACGCGTCGGCCTTAATCGTTATCTCGATACACGATCTTTTTTCCATGTAATGTCTGTTCTTAAGCGTCCACATTTTTCACACATTATCATCGTTGAAAAAATCCGTAATGGCAAAGGTTGCAACGTACAGTGACAATGTTTGCCGTTACGTTAAAGTTCAGACAACTTCTCACGATCCTTGCCATTTTCATTCTTAATTTACGAATTTCGTGACGTTCGACGTGAACGAAAAAGAAGGTGATCGCTACACGGCTGTAATCGATAATTGGCTGAAATTCTTCTTAAGCTATCAACAAGTCACGTGAGAATGTAAATGCTGAGACGTTCGAACATGCTAATTGCTTATTACCGTATTAGTTATAACCGCAGGTTTTATTAAGAAATATTGTTGATGTTGCTAAAGTGTTTCGCGTTCACCTCGAGGTATTCACGTTATCGTGTCTCATATAGTGTTCAGGCTACAAGTACTTAGCGAAAGTAAGATTTATGGTGATCATGGTGGAGTGTGGCAAGTCTTACTTACGCTTGTGCAACTGCAGGGTAGCAAGGTGGCTCGTTGGACGCTCAAGGTTTCTCGGTAAACAGTGCACGAGACACGAGAAACATTATATTTCTTCGCGCTTCAAACTCTCTCGTCTCAATTGCTATTCAACGACTTATTCTTCTCCATTGGCTCGTATCGTTCGGACGATCTTCATTTTCTCACACAACGGGACGGAAAAACATAATACTTTCGCGTCGAATTCAGTTTAAATCATGCATTGGCATTTTACTCCGGGAGCTTTAGAGGAGGCTACCTAACCGAGCACTGTTCACCGCGTGCAATTGCCTACCCCATACATTAGATAGTGTACCTACATAGTAATGTTTAGTGTTAGATTAAACAGAAAAAAATCTCGTATATTTTATGGTAACTGGCAAATATATGTGTTGTTTTGTTTCTTGTCCATGATAGGGACAATGACTTAACGCCTATCGAGGGTGGTCAGCTTTCCAACAACAAAGTGTGCTCTGGACACTCTAGTAACCGTTGTGCGAATAATAGTAATAATAATAATGGTAACAATAACAATAACGTGGGTGGCCCGCTGATGTCCGTGGCGCATCTGAACGGTCAAGTGAGTGGTATCAGTGGTCGGGGGTTGGCGGGCACGTCGTCGCACACGGTGGCATCCTCCTCGTCGTCGAACTCGATAGTGTTTAGCGCGGCCGAGTCTTGCAACAACCCCCTGCCGTCGCTAACTACCAGTAATCCGTTCAACCACTTTTCGGGGAACATGGACTTGGAATTCGAGCTCTTCCCCAGTTCCACATGGGACTTGGATAGTAGCAGCGGTTGGGCAGATAGGCCCGAGTCGAGAGCGAGCGGGCCACCAAATTCACGACCACCTTCCCAGCCAGCTCCGACATCTCCGAGTCCCCAGGGAACGTTCTCCTCTAATACAGCGGTGGCGCCTCACTGCAGTCCCATGCGCGCGTTCAGCCCGACCTCAGGCAACGCAGCTCACACCTTCAGTAATTCGTTCCCCTTCAGTCCGCTTCAGGAATCACAGACGTCCGCCTTGACGAACAACGCTGCTAGTAGTGTTAGTGCTAAGGGAGCTGCCGCCGCCGGTTTGACGCCCAAGAGGCAGGACGAAGGGAAGACCGCCGGGGGATGCTCAACCACCAACCAGGCCACCATGGACGTCGGGAACAATACCGCGAGAAACACGGCGACGTCTGTTGCTGGTGCAGCCGTTGCTGGCGGCGCGGCTGGCCAGACCAGCGCCGCGACCCCGACCTCGGTCGTAGAGACTCAAAACAGTGTTGTGTCCACGGAGTCCGGTAGACTCAGAAACTTGTTGACCAAGGGAGCTAGTGCTAGTGAGGATAGTCAGGACAATACGAATAATGATTCCGAGAGCCAAAATAAACATAGGATATTAAAGATCTTGTTGAATCAACAAGACGAGGACGATTTTCATCCGGAACATAATAGTAAAGTGCGCACGAGTCCTAGCAACATGCCAAAACCTAGCATGGAGCATTCGAAATCTTCGCTTGGAAATAATATGCTGCTACAGGTAAACGAGCTGATCATTGATATCCAATTCACGTGGCATCGGACTGGTGTCACTCCAGTGATTTCAATTGCTTTGCGTTACACATTATGTGTATCTTCTCTACCTCTCGTTTTTCTCAAAAGTCTGTGATCAGCCTACTGGTTTCTGATTTAATACAAGATCGAGAATATCTTACTACGAATTAAAAATGTTTACGCATATTTTTATATAACTATTGGCTGATTGCGATAGGACTTTCATATCCAGCTGGTAGTTAGTAAATTTAACTCATCTGTTTTTTAAGCTGTTGAACGAGAAGAATGACGATGAGGACGAAGAAGCACGCGCCGGTTTGAAAAAGAGGAACGAACTCCTGCAACAACTCTTGAAAGATCAAGACGACGAGAGAAAGGTACAAGAGCAACAGGTTGGTCACCATAAGTCTTATACTATAACACTAAACCTACCTACACACTTTTCTTGTATACCTATTCCTACCGGTCAAAATTACCGGTCATGAAAAAAAAGTTATTATTTTAACAATTAAACGTAGATAATAGTCAATTTATTTCTGAATGAATTAATAAATGAACAACTTTCATAAAATGACGGCAGTTTTATTTCCATATACTTTCAATTATGAGCTTGAAAAGAGAATTAAAGGTGAACGGTAGTTGATTGTACAAAAGTATGAGAATGGTCAATTTGACCGATTTTGGTAGGTTTAATGTTAACATAGTGTTGAATAAATCTGCTCGAGTATAAAAGAATATTCGAAATATAGTGTCGAAATAAAATAACATGTTGCAAGTATGTATTGACATGTTTTCTGATGTGAATATTAATGGATTAACGAGAGATGAAATTTGAACAGTGCAAGTCACAGACTCGAGAAGAGGATTCGCTATTGCGAAGCCTAGGATTTAGGAATACCACTCCATCGCCGTCTCAATCAGGTGACAGCCATGGTAGTTCAACTCAGGTTGGTCAGAAGAGACCTGGTGAAGATGGCGATTTGAACATAGCAGTGAAACGGCCCATGGACGGGTCGCATCAAGTGTCTTCTTCCGGCACGTCGACTGCGACTAGCAAGCTCTGGGAGAAGAACAAAATGTTGGCCTCGCTGTTGGCCAAACAGCCACCTCAGCCAACCACTATCCCACCCATACCTGCATCTGTGATATCGGCAACGCCACAGGTAATAAAAAATTAAATAATTATTATGTTCATCCTGGGATAAAAACGATATAAAAAATTAATGAACTTTATTCGTTACTTATGGTAGGATAAGCTTCGAAGTATAGGATTGAAACCGCAACCGCAACCGCCACAGTCGCAATCTCAGCCACAATCGCAACAGCAGCAACAACAACAGCAGCAGCAACAGCAGCAGCAGCAGCAGCAACAACAACAACAACAACACCAGCAACAACAGCAGCAGCAGCAACAGTCGTGGGCAGGTGGCAGTATACAGTCGGTTGGTGGTAATACGATTACGACGACCGCTACTTCCGCGCGTACGCCTCTCCAAAGCCAGTCGAGACCACTACCTCGTCAAGCAACCAATACCTACCTCACTCATATGCTAAGTCAGGTAAGGACTTAACACTTTATACAGATCAGTTTTGGTAAAAGAAAATGCAATACTCGACAAAACTATGGCATCGCTAATTTAAATGTAAATGTAATTTGTTTTTAGTGAAATTGAACAATTCTATTAAAAAATAAATTGCTTGTTTACAGCAACAAAGACCTCAGATGGGTCAAATTGATTCAGAATTCACGGGCAGCGGGGAGTATCGCCAAGCAAGTAACGATCCCACCACTTGGGATAATCAATCATCAGATCCAGATCTATCCGATATTTTAGATCAAGTTATCGAATTCGTACCGGACGAAGCTATTGCAGGTATCGTTTATTACTACCACGACGCGCATGAAATAGTATTTAATGTAAATTCTTTGACTTACGTCGGGCGTATATGACTCGACACTTTCGCTGTCAAGGAATAATCGCAAATTATTGTGATTTTGCTTCTATTAACGGCGCTTCGTTCCGAAATAATTGCCAGCGAACTAAAGCTCACACACACACACACACACACTAGTGCGGAGTATACATATGCGCGCAACGCGCTACGGTGTGACAGCGAAAGTACTTAGGATTATAGACAATATAATTTTTATTCAATAGATTCGTCTGCGATAGCAAATCTGTTAGATGTAATCGAAGCGCCGCAAAACAATGCGTTGAACGAGAAGATGGCGATTAACGCGATACAGAAGTCGTTGATGTTATGCGAGACTGCCGTAAATCCAACGTCTTCCACCATAACAATTCCTGGCACGCCTCCAGCTTACTCTACCGCGGTAAGTTGATACCCTTTCCACGCGCATTTTCTAATGTAACACCCGCGCGATAATTATAATTGTACCGTATCGTTTAATCCGCAAGAGTTATCATTATTACTTCTCTGTTCATTGTATCCTACATGCATAATTAATATTGTGTGGGTAATACAATTTTAGTTGGGCACGACGCCCGTAACGACGAGTCATAGTTACCAGCCACCACCGATGTATCAACAGCAACCGAGAATGAGGTTTAACACGCAGCCGGGTGTCAGGCAGGCGACCACTCAATTCACGCAGCAGCAACAGTTGCAGTTGCAGCAGCGAACGAAATTGATACAGCAGCAGCAACAGCAGCAATTGAAGCAGAGGCTCCTGCAGCAGCAACAACAGCAGCAGTTGCTCATTCCTTCTAATGCTACAGCTACGGACCAAATTACCACCGGCATCCACAATATCGATAATCTTCTCAACAACACCGTTGCGCCAAACGTATCATTACAGGTAATGAAAGTAATGCATATTTTACACGTTCGGTTGTCTATTGAGTTAAGAGTTTTATATGATGTTAATAAATTGTACTTCCTCCAGCGATCGAGTGTACCAGATTCACAAGTGTCTCCAGGATATGGGGGATCCGTCCAGATGCCTTCCGGTCATCGACTTGCTCACTCGTACTCTCATCCTTCAACGTTACCACAACAGTAAGCAACGTTCAGATATACAAACTATACTAAAAGCAGCGCATTTAAATTTTGGTATACATACAATGATCTTAATATTCTTAGACGCGTCTAAATCTTCATCAAAAATCAGAACGATCTATCCGAACAATAAAATACGTCGTCTAAAAATATCTATACTATAGATTTTATTTGAATCGCAAGTGAAATACTTGTATGTTTTCCGAAAAAAAATGTCAGGTGGCTTGCTTTGGATAAACATCAATCATTAATGACCGGACAACTAATTAATGATTTTCTTTGTTTCAGTCCCATTGTAAATAATAATTTCAACAGCGGTCAACAAGTGTCTGCTGCGGCGCGACTCTCGCCGCATTCCCCGGCTGGTATTCTGTCGTTCTCGCATCCCCAGCCGTTGTCACCGCGAGTGACGCAAGTACGTGTCACGAGTTATTTAATTAGACGGGTTGTCCTAAATGCCTGTCGTGTAGTTTCATTTTTATTTTTAAGTTCTATTCCCGTTTCATTGAAAATGGTGCACGCGTGACCTGTTTATTTCGATCTGTTGCTTAAGTTCGCACACGAGAGCTCATAAAACATAAAATTATATTCTCGTAGCTCTCGTTTCCGTTTAAATATCATTTGCTAAGCTTAGTCCGACACGTTTATGTTCCTTAGCTTGACGCCGTGAATATTCAATTTTTCTTTTGCATTTTGTGATCAAGGGCAACTATGGTAATACCCCGAGATTATTCAACGTTAACCAGGTGAGGTCGCAGCAACAGCCGACCGCGCAGCAGCAGTTGCAGCAGCAGCAGAGATCGATGCCGTCGCCAGGGACACCGGCGTCCGCTCGGCAATCCCCGTTCCCGGCAGAAACCTTTCCCCCGCCCACGTCCCCGACCGCTAGCCAGTTTCCTCCTGGTCCCAATCCCGGTGCTCCGAATCCTCCGGCCCAATATCGGTTGCAACGGACCACGTCTACACCTTCAGCCACGACTCAGCTCCCAGGTAGGTTGATGTGGAACTCTTCAGTGATAGTTTTTTTTTTAAGTTCGTGACAGACATTTCATACCGTGAACTCTAATAAATTTTCGTGGTACATATAAAACAATGGACATTCCGTATGAAAAAAATTAAAGAAGAACGATTTTAAAACAGTGTTGTACAAAAATCGTGTCAGCACAGTGTCATGTTAAACGTGGTTCACGCATAATTTTTATTACGGCTATTAATTACGCATGGGTGCGTTTGTTGAGGATAAATCGTGTATCGATTGGAAACATTGTGATCTTTTTTTATGTGATCGTATTATGTACAATAATGTGGTATGCGGATAGGATATTTTGCGAGGGATCGTAAATGATTTTTGTTATGTGACCTCCTTATATAATCACAAAGGTAAAGGAAGCGTTGGTATAAATCATGTGATTTAATAAATACATTTTTTGACAAAAGGGGTAAGTATATAACCGATTCAAGTATTTCTTCGTAGTACGCGATTTAAATGAAAAGAGACATTATAATTGTATTAATACACGTATGCTTAATCAGTTGATATAATTAATGGCATATCTAAAAACTGAAATAGCATTACAATCACCGGTTTACAAAAAAAATGCAGAACCTTCAAATCATGATTTGAATCGAACTGAAGCATAAATTACTGTAATCAGATGACGACTTTAGAAATATTTGCATTTACTGTCGATGTATACAATTAATAAAAAAAATGAGAATAACAGTAATTCTACCGGAGCTGCACTGTACTGAACGGATACTGACACCTCGGAGACTTGCGCGAGTTTTAATACGATGACCAATGCAATTCCTGTTGAGCTGTCCCCACAGAGATTGGAACAAAATCGACTAGAGTCGTTGCAAAACGTTTTTATTAAGATATACGCGAGAGGAACAAGAAGATAGACAAGCTTGATGTTGCAGGTGGGGTAGGTTCGCCCCGGCACTATGGCGGAGTGAGTAAGGAACAACCTCTTCTTTCACCTAGTCATCCACATTCGGGTTGCAACCCAGCAACACCGACTCATAATCAACACAACGTAACGAATACCCAACAACACTTCTCCAACCAACAACATTCTTCTATGATATACCACACGACCGCCAATACAATCAACACAGCTGACATGCAGAACAATCAGTTCTGTTACGATCGGACGTCTGTTCCACTCTATTCGTCAGGGCCCGGGGACACGCAGGATGCCAGGCCTTTGCCTCCCGGTAATCCTGTCAATCACCAATTGGGTGGTAAGTCATATGACCAATTAATGTCATGTGACCATCACTTCGTCATCATCACATCCCCTTCCGTATGCGCCCTTCTTTGTATCTAAAAAAAAGAAATGGGTATCTCGATTCCAGCGAGACCATCTATCAAACGGCATGGTATTCATTCTGTTCTTTTTTCCCCTACATTTTGGTACATGGAAAAGCACATCATTCTTTATCACCATCCACCCATCGATGTATCGACCCTGAGCAAGTGTACATAAGACGATCTTAAGCTGCAGCGTTTCGTGCGTTCGATGTGTCCCCCTCATCATTATGTACGCCCCGCAAACTTCCTCTTTTCACGTTTCACATGGGAAGCGGTGCTTGTTGCGTGGCTAATCAGATGCTGTGGCATTCCCTGCGATTCGGTTAAAGTCATTCCGATCGTTTCGAAGTCGATGACGTTTCATCCTCGTACACTTATCATTATTCATTCTTCCCGTCATCAAGGATCAACTCATCTCTGCTTGCGATCGTCACGATAAAGTTATGCTTGAATCACCTCCCACAGTTTAATAGTAACCCTGCTTCCTTTACGAACGTTCAATGAAGCCCTTTGCTAGCCCCTCGCCCTTTACAGTTTCGATCAGTCTCTAATGTCTTGCTCGAATTCGAGCTTCTGGTTTTCTCACAGACTCCATGTAGATAGCAAATCAGATAAACAGAGCACCGTTATCTTCTCATCGCTCTATCATACACCTATTGATGATCATTGAAAGACGTCGACGCAGTAAATGTTGCATGGTGCTTTTGTTCATAGTTTGAGACTCGGCTACCATCATAACTATGTCTACCCGGAATGAATTCTCACATTGTAATACGAAGTCAAGTCGAACACTGATTTCTCAACACGATTAAACGAAATCAAGAAATATCTATCGTTATTTATTACTAACATCAAAAATCTCTCATGTTTTCATCAGACTGTCGTTTCATTTTGTGAATAACAAACAAATTATACATGTTTCTAATGACAGTAGATCGATTTCGTCAAATGTTTGCCATTACAAATATTGTAAAAAAAAGTCATTGGAACATGCGATTGGGAAAGATCAAGTGATATGTGTTCAAAACTCACACAAACAACGATGTAACATAGTACAAGTTTGTCCCAATTCACGTGACACAGCCCCTTCTCACACTAATCCCGACGACACAAATATAATGTTCGATTGTGCACTCTACTTCCATTTTTAGCGACATAGAGACTACACTTTCCTATGGTGATTGTAGACACCAATGTACTTATATGTAATGATATAGTAGATAAGTCACGTAGGAAAGACTGTCCTTTGTATCATATCTTTTTTAGGTACCTTTCTGTGACTCGTATGCGTTAAAATCACTGTACTTTTAAGGTGGACCGGAAACGGAAGCGGGCAAATAGCTGATGAGTAAATCTAATACGAAGTGGTTTAATAATCTCGCATATGCTCGTGGATCGAAATAAAACATTTGCCCGTTTCCGGTTCAGAATGTATTCGCACATTTAGTGACTACTTTCGGCACTTCCGGGCCACGTAAAATTAGCGTCACTGTCACTTGCACCATATTATGTATACGAACTTTATGTTATAACTAATATATGATACGCATTGCTATTTTCATATCATAAGATTAAAAATTTGTTGTACAACTAAAATTAAGGTAGAAACGATAACGTGCGAAAGCTGATTGCTTGCACTATTTCTTATCGCTAAGTGTACAATATGTATATAATACGGCCCTTCAAATCTCTCAATAACGATTCACTTTATCTATATGTATTTCACGTTCATCATCACGAAATTATCTTTAAACAACCTAATTCGACATAACTTGATGTATACTTTGTGTTGGCTTTAAAAATTCATTACTCATAATTTATTGACTTTTGTACGCTTATTGTTATCACGCTGTCTCGTTTTTCTTCTATTTGTGTTTCTTCATTTAATCTGTCATCAATGCGTATCTATTTTTAGGTACATTTGTCTTTGTTTTAGCTACATTGTCGTTGCGTTATTTTATAATTGGAGCATGATCAGTGAACATGCGATTGGGAAAGATCAAGTGATATGTGTTCAAAACTCACACAAACAACGATGTAACATAGTACAAGTTTGTCCCAATTCACGTGACACAGCCCCTTCTCACACTAATCCCGACGACACAAATATAATGTTCGATTGTGCACTCTACTTCCATTTTTAGCGACATAGAGACTACACTTTCCTATGGTGATTGTAGACACCAATGTACTTATATGTAATGATATAGTAGATAAGTCACGTAGGAAAGACTGTCCTTTGTATCATATCTTTTTTAGGTACCTTTCTGTGACTCGTATGCGTTAAAATCACTGTACTTTTAAGGTGGACCGGAAACGGAAGCGGGCAAATAGCTGATGAGTAAATCTAATACGAAGTGGTTTAATAATCTCGCATATGCTCGTGGATCGAAATAAAACATTTGCCCGTTTCCGGTTCAGAATGTATTCGCACATTTAGTGACTACTTTCGGCACTTCCGGGCCACGTAAAATTAGCGTCACTGTCACTTGCACCATATTATGTATACGAACTTTATGTTATAACTAATATATGATACGCATTGCTATTTTCATATCATAAGATTAAAAATTTGTTGTACAACTAAAATTAAGGTAGAAACGATAACGTGCGAAAGCTGATTGCTTGCACTATTTCTTATCGCTAAGTGTACAATATGTATATAATACGGCCCTTCAAATCTCTCAATAACGATTCACTTTATCTATATGTATTTCACGTTCATCATCACGAAATTATCTTTAAACAACCTAATTCGACATAACTTGATGTATACTTTGTGTTGGCTTTAAAAATTCATTACTCATAATTTATTGACTTTTGTACGCTTATTGTTATCACGCTGTCTCGTTTTTCTTCTATTTGTGTTTCTTCATTTAATCTGTCATCAATGCGTATCTATTTTTAGGTACATTTGTCTTTGTTTTAGCTACATTGTCGTTGCGTTATTTTATAATTGGAGCATGATCAGTGCGGATTTTTAATTGATTTATTTTCTACTTTTAAAATACAATCTTCTTTGTTTTCCTTTTTGGTAAATTTTGCAAACATTCGTGAAACCAATTTTTTACATTCTAAATATTTATTGAAAATCATTGATACAATTAAATAGTGATATATTAATAAAATACTGATAGAAGCGATAAGACTCGCGTAGATAAAGCGACTACTCGTGAATGAGGTGTATAAAAGAATTTGAACTTAATCATTCTCCAATTTTTATTCGACGTTAACGAATAGATACGAATCCGTGGTTCAGATCGTCTAAGTAATTAAATTAAGAAGGTATTACTAATAACGACGCATCGAGCTTTTGTGATTAATCATTGTCACTAAACGCAGTGTAAGCATCGTCGAGTACAGTCTACATTAAGTGTCTGCCGGAGCTCTGTTGTGATATATGTGACTAAACCAGATGGAATCAAAGCTTTCACGAAGCTTCGTCTCATAGCATATTTATTTATTATTTTTTTTCTTTTAACTCTCTGTTTTTTTTTCGGCAAGAATTTCATCGTGCTTGAAAAATCATGATAATGTGGACGGACCAGGTCGATTTATTACAGGATAAGTCACGTCATCGATGTCAACGCAATATTGTAAATACCGCATTTTTTAATAAAGCATTCATCCTGGACCCTTGACTAACTTGTACGTTATGGCTTGCACAGTACTCGAGATGTTATTGTCTGTGAATGAAAAAGGAACGAAAAGAGACATGAAGACCGTGGTCGATTTACTATGTACATTAGAAAAAGGAGTTGACGATCTCGTCTCGTTTTGTCATAGGAAACGCAAGCAGCACCTCGGAGTTCGTGAGACAAGAGCTCAGAGCGATCGTCGGCGCGCGAACGCAGCAGCAGCAACAGCAAAGGGTACCTAACAACATACAGAACAACCTCTCTGGTCAAGTATCTCAGGACGATCTTGAAGCGCTCGGCCTTACGTTTGAAATGTCTTCAGCAGGTATGTCAATCGGAAGTGGGGGTTCGTTCTCACTTGTAAGAGTCGCGTGTTAGTCGAAAGGACGATCACGAACAGCTTATAAAACGAACGAAAAAGAAATTGATTACCAATTCATTGATTTCTTTTTCTTGGCAAATTTTTTACTTTAATCGTTAACTGGAGGAATTATATTAATCTTCATTGGTTTTCGATTACTAACAAAATCGTAGCGTCTCGCTGCATTGCCGTTTCACTTTTTCGACTTTTAATTTTAATTCCTGTACGTTGTAAAGGAATAGCGCCGCGTATCATGTTGGAAGCTGTGAAAAAGTATTACAGGGATCCTACAGATATAAATTTTATAATTTCCCTTCACTTGTACCGTACGCAATCCATACTTAAATATTTTTAAATTAAAAGTGTTAGGAAAATCTGAATCATCTGAGACCTCTTCAATTGTATCTCTGTTATGTACCATTGAAATACCTATTTCTTTCATGCCCTAAATTCGCAATTACATTGAAATTCGAAATTGTTGTAGTTAAAAATCAAAAGTAATAAAACAATGGCCCATTCATTTGTTATCAAATTTTTTTAAAAGCTTTCGATTGTTTTATACTTTTTGTACGAATCTAAGTCCGTAGATCTGTTTTATTTCCATAGTTCATAGTAGGATAGTGATTGAATACGGGCACAGTTGTCTCTCCGCGACTACGTAGAAAAATTCATTTGTGTTCCCCGATTTTCACGAACCATTCAACTACCGAAAACAATAAAACAGTCGGGTTTCGCAGCATGTACTCCCTGTTGTGTTCGCGAGAACAATATAGCTATGTTGTGTGCCTACTGCATATATGTACAGGATTAAAAGGTGTGCGTGACGTAAGAGCACAAATGCATACATCTGCTTCTTGTAAGAAAACGCAATTATTCCTAATGAAAAAGAGAAAAAGACTGGTGGTAACGCCTACTGTTACAATGTCCTAACTAGGTGAGGCTGTGGTTAACGATGGCCCTGCAAAGAGCTGGGCCATTGGGAGTGCCGGAAGTGCCCCCTCGTCCTCCAGGGTAAGACCCTTCCGACAATTACTTTTACGTATAAATTATAGTTAAATATTTATTATACATATACACACTTATTTATCTCTCTCCTTTACATATTATACGATTATCTTATTTTTCAATTTACATTTTCATTTGATTTTGTATGCTATGTCTTCCCTTCTTCGCTTGGCTTCAGAACTTATTGTGCACGACATTGTTTAATGAGTATTTTTTATTTCTTTCTCTTTCTCTCTCTCTCTCTCTCTCTCTACGCACTGAGCGTAAAACTTGTAGGGGGTATTTGATCGTTCTCTTTTTGCATGCGTCACTTTGAACGTTGATACATTTATTTAATTCGTAGATGCGAGAATACGCGAATACACTCGAAACATTGACGCTGTAAGCTGTTAGCAAGATGCTGTAACTCTTGCACCGTGAAACAATGCTTTTCAGGCGGTTCTTATAATATAAAAATCGTTTCTTCTTCTGTTGTTGGAACGTGCTCGAACGATTAAACGTATCGATTAGACAGATTCCTGTTTCTGTCTTTCTGCTGCAACGTGTGGGTAAATCAACTTGTTGTACGATTGACAGCAACGTGGATGTACAAAGGATACACCAAGCCAGAGTATGAGATTGTTTCGGTTTTTTCATTTCCCAAATCTCTTTTTCGCGCTTAGGGGAACGACTGTCGTCGACGCATGGGTTTTGTTGATGAAACGATCTCATGAAGTATTTGGTATTTCTCTGTATACTCTCCTCTGATTCTCTCTAATTATACTTTGCGTACAATTAAGTCAGAGAATTAATGGAAGAAATAATAATTTAATAATCCATTAGAATTGAAAATATTAATCTGCTAGAATA